ACTTATAGACCTCCACCACATTTATGACTTCCTGGAAGTCATAAACCACCACAATTTTTTTTATCATTTTGGCAGAAGACCCCTGAATTTTTATTTATGTTACGTCACTTTCACAAGACCAATTACTTAGGACAAGAAAACCATCTAATTAGAATTGATTGGTCAACCTAATATCTTTCTCCAAATTATCTAGGTATTAAACTTGTCAATTCACCATTACCTATATAGAAATCATAAACAGAGCTAGGCTTGATAAATCAGAAATTAGACTACCAAAAGTAGTCTGATTTGGTGAAACGTATCTCTAATGTGGTCTAGGCCACTAGATAATTAATCACTAGGATAATTATTAATTACTTAGGTATGCTATTAGGATTGGTCTTGTATAGAAATTCTACTATTATTCCATTAAGCCCTCTGTGCTACTATATATATGATTTGAAAGGTGAAAAAGGAAAAAAGAAACTGCTATAGTCCCAACGTCAATTACAGTAAATTTGTGCTAATAATAGTAAATGATATCCATCACTTGGAAGGTTATAAATCGTTCACTTGGCCAAAACATAAATGGTGCAGTGACAGAAGCTCTTAAGTTATCGTGGATGCTAAAATAGACACTCGTGTAGATTTTCTCAATAGAATAGCATGCAAATCGAATAAGAATGGGAATTGATAGGAGAAAAGAAGAAAGAAAGAAAAGATAGCAAAATAAATAAAAGTTGTAATAAGAACGAATGAGTTTTACATTATGAATGACCAAACACATTATTGCAGATAAATGACCACTATTTTAGATAAATTCGTTAGGACATTTCATCGAACACCTAAATTGCAAGAAAAATATAGGATAAGAAGTATACCTGAAATAGTGTATCTGAAAATTTTCAAATTAGAAGATCACTTGAAGGTGCAGAGAGAGCTTCCTAAATTTTCACATATTTCCCTCTTTTAAAACCAAATATGCAAAATCAAAATCAGAGAAAAAAAATTACGTGTATAGAACCACTAAATTAGTGATTTGAAAAAAAAAAGTCACACATAGAACGAAAATAGTAAGAATGTGAATAGTAAATAAGAAAGAAAGAAAGAAAAGGAATCAAAGAGATCAAAGACGGACACTCACGCATCGATGTTGATTCAAGATTGAGTAACGCAAAGAACAAAGTAATTTGAGAATAAACGCTTTCCAAATCAAGTATTGCAATTAGCAGAGTGTCCTTCTAATCTCAATCTCTTTCGGCCATAATCTCTATGCTCGAGTGTATCAGTGATTTGTGGAATAAATGGAGGGAGAGACGCCGTGTTATTTTTAACTTTTCGTACAATGGTGCGTTGCCAAAGTATCGTGGACAAATAGCATTTTTCTTGTAGTGCAGTCTATTAATTGCAGATTTACAGCCACACAGAAAGCCCGTAAATCTGATATATAATATATTTTTAAGCAATTTAAAATAGCAAAACATAATCGTGGAGGTTTAAAACCTGCAAAAAGATTCAATCATTTAGTGGAGGTTTTCTTGACCTACACTAAAAAACCTCCAGTAATCACCCATTTTTTTGTAGTGCTCTCTTTTTTAATGCAGAAGCTATTTTTAAGTTAAAGTTAAAAAAAAGTTAAAAATTATTTGGTAATTATATAAAAAATTTAGCTTAAAAGCATACATTTCAAGAAAAGTTTTTCTCTATATCTCCATGGCTCTTCATTTCAAAAAAACATATAATTCAAGAAAAACTGATAAGAGTTAAAAAAAAAAGCTCCTCCTATGAGCTTTTGGCTTTTGATTTTTTTTTTTATTATAAAAAAGAGAGTTTTTCATTATAAGAGTTTTTTTCAAAACTTATTTGGCCTAACTTCTGTTTATAAGGAGAAGAGAAGCTAAAAATAAAAGTATACAAACACACACTAACAAATAACAAGTAATCAACTGAAAAATAAACCTTGAGCCCAAAAATTATACTGTAGATTTCTGTGAGCCCTTAAACAAACCATTAAATAAACATACTGTTAAAAGCATCATAGTTAAACCACTACCGTTTTATACTAACTCCATTTAAAACCAACGTTATTTTGCGTTTAAGTATATATTTGGTTGGGGTATACTATAACTGCCCTTAAGACTCTAGCTTATAAATGGGATTATAGGTTGCCCATGAAACTCTAATCTTCACAAAACGATAATTATCCTTTTGTGTCTAAAACTTCGGTGCTAAATTGCTAATGGATTTTAACAAAGTTGCAGTTATTATATTCATGGCTATAATCATCATGTTTGCCTTTGTTGAAAACGGAGAAGCCGTTTTGGACCAACTTTGCTTCACACAGTGCCTTGCGAAATGTCCTGAAGTAAAGCTTCCTAAAAACGATTGCATTCAATGGTGTGGAGTTCTATGCTTTTAATAATATGTAGTTGTTCCGTCTATGTGATTATGTGACAGAGATGTCTAGCTAAGGGATAGTAGATCAATATAGGATCTTGTGCTCTCTTTATATACCTATGAATTAGGTATCTTGGGGGTAGCAAATCACTGTACATGTGGACAGTGATTGCAAAATAATAATAATAATAATAATAATAATGAGAGATTAGTTCATACATGTGGTCTTTAGCTCCTATTTATAGTGTTTACCTTAAGATTTGAATCATTTGAACCTCTTTCTCCGAGGCCCAATCTTCTGTCTTCACGTTATCCAATTGTCCATCCTTTATTGGGCCTCTCAAGTATATGGGCTTTATGTGGGTCCATAACAGTAGTAAATATGATAAATCGTACAAATACAAGTCTAGCTTGCCAGTTTGGAGCAAGTAAAGTGTTTTGATATTACATTTACTACTTATCATATGAAAAATAGAAATCATTCTCTCATTTTATATACGATAACTATCTTATACTCTCTTTTTTTTTTTTTGGAGGTTATCTTATACTCTTTTTCACATAAAAAAAATATGCCACGACCTTTTTTTTAATGAGTGGTGGGTCTCACCACATCATCTGTCTATGATAGGAGATAATTATCTCTAACAACATAAGAAAATAGAACTCCTATGAAAAAATGGAATAAAGATTGAATAATAATTGTGCGTTTGTTGCTCACTTTTGAAATTTTTTATTTTTCAGCAGTCTTTTTTCTTTTAAGAAAATTTTAAGAGTTTTAGTAAGTGTTAGTTTATATGATTAAATTTGGGTGTTCTCTATTTGTCACTAATTTAAATTAGAGTAAATATCATTTTTGGTCATCAGCAAATTTCACGATGCCCACTTTAGTCCCTAGCAAATAAAAAGACTATTCATGGTCCATAAGAAATTCAAAATGGACCCATTTAGTTGAAATCATGGTCCCTCACAAATTCAAAAAAGACCCACATTAGTCCCTCAAAAGGACTAAACTGGATCCATTTTGAATTTCTTAGGGACCACGAAAAGCCTTTTTATTTGCTAGGGACTAAAGCGAGCATCGTAAAATTTGTTGAGAACCGAAAATGTTATTTACTCTTTAAATTATTAATGAATTTTTTTTAATCTTTTATAATAAGATTTTCACTGATATAAGATTTTAAATACATATAAAAATATCATCTACCAATATTTGAAATTTGAGTGCAAATAACCGCCCACTATCTTTGGGCCCGTTTGGATGAGTTTTTTAAAAAAATAACTTTTTATGCATTGCTTTGTTTAAAAGAATTTTTTTTAAAGGTAAAGTTATTTTACATTTGAATGAATGATCTGAAAATCACTATTACATAAAAAAGTTATTTGGATGTCAAAATAAAAAAAAAGCATTTTTTATATATAAAATTACAATAAAGGAGAGATAAAATAGCATGATCGTATGATAAGGAGAGATAAAATAGGTATGATAGGATAAGGTTAAAATTGTATTTTAAAAAATTTATATTATATTTTTTCCAAAAAAAATTATATTATCTTTTAATTTCTTCTTTTTTCAAAAGCAACCAACCACTGGCTACAAAAAAAAATAGCATTTTTAACTTTTATTTTAAATTTTGTTTTTTTAAAAAATTGTTATCCAAACATCTAAAAATTCTCAAAAGAACTTTTATTTTAAAAAAAAAATTAAGAATAAAAGCTCATTCAATCGGACACTTAGTTTGTCCAACTTTTAAGATTTTAATATATTTTTAACCTTCCAAGTAATCCGCCCTTTTACTCCCATTTTCGATTCTTAAAATTTTGAGGGGGTGTTTGGTAAGGGGTTTTGTTATAGATACCTAGGCAACTTCTATTGATATTTCAATTTGACCATGTTTGGTACAACACTTAAAAAAATTTAACTAGGAAAATCCATTGCCCATCCATCTTGATTTGTTTGCAAAATTTCATGAAAAATACTATTCCAAAAACCCAAATGAGAGGTGGTATTTTGAACTTTGCTGGGGAAAGAAAAAAAGAGACGTTGAAATGAAGACAAAATTGACCCTAGTGGAGTATGTTTTTTCAATCTCTTTCTTATGTGGAGATTCAAAAAGTAGAGTGGTTATTTTTGTAATTTTAATCCATTTTTTCATCAATATTTTACCTTCAACCAAACATAGACTTAGAAAACTTTAATCAATTTTTGCGGTAATATTTTATCCTACCAAACAACTTTTTTTCAATTTTACCATCAAACTTACTTTTCTATCACTTCCCCATTAATTGTATTTACCTGGTAAAAAAAGAATCTCCTCTACCAAATACCTGCTGAATGATTTTCAATGTTTGTCGTGCAAATACTACAGTTCAAAATGCCTTGGAAGACGTGCTCGTGGCGGTGCTCCTATCAAAATGCCTTTCCCTACGACAGTTCAATTCTCCACATTGGTGCTCCTACAAGGTGTTTACCATTCTTAGATTTATGGTTTTATGTTTTCTTAGGAATAAGTTTTTATCTTTTCATATCATTTAGCATTGCAAATATAAAATGAATAGAATAAAAACAAGAGGGAGAATTTTGTTTCTTGGTGTTTTGCATATCTGTATTATTATGAAATGAATCTTATCTGTACACTGATGCAACTAGCACCATTTATATACACCAGTCCAAGTAAAAAGGGAGCGAAAGCTGATAACAAACTAACTAACTAAAAACAGAAAAGTAACAGAATTAGTTACAGTGAGTGGAGTGCTTTCTGTCTTGATGGATGCCACGTGTGGTAACGAACTGGACGGTGAATATTATGAACACCCAGTTTGGACAACAAAGAATGAAATGTGGTAGGAGTAAGAGGCTTGGTGAAGAAATCAGCCAATTGGGCAGTAGTGGAAATGGGGAGTAAATGGAGAAGGCCACTGTTAATTTTCTCACGAGTAACATGGCAATCTATTTCAATATATTTTGATCGCTCATGAAAGGTGGGATTGTGAGCAAGTGATATGGCAGATCGGCTATCACAATAGATGGGTGCAGGTTTGAGCCAAGGAACTCCAAGGTCTGATAGAAGAAACTGCAGCCATTGGAACTCACAGGCTAAGCTGGCCAAAGCATGATATTCTGCCTCAGAAGAAGACATGGAAACAGTAGCTTGTTTCTTGGAACACCAGGGAACCAAAGATGAGCCCAAGTAGACACAAAAACCTGTAATGGAACGTCGGGTGTCACTGCAAGAAGCTCAGTCAGAATTAGCGAAGCCACAGATGCTTAGGGAATTCAAAGCAGGTAGAAAGAGACCAGATGCTGGAGACCCTTGAGATAACGAAGAATCCGATGAGCAGCATGTAGATGGGTGTCACGAGGATTGGACACAAACTGACTTAAACAATTAACAGAGAAGGAAATGTCTGGTCTGGTGGTGGTTAAGTAGAGGAGCTTCCCAATAAGACGCCTATAAGAGGAAGGATCTTCAAGGGGCTTGCCATCAGAAGTAGTCAAACGAGTGGAAGAGTCCATGAGGGTAGAGACAGGTTTAGAACCCAAATAACCAGTATCAGAAAGGATTTCTAAAGCATACTTTCGTTGGTTAATAACAAGACCTGTCTTCGAACGTGAGATTTCCAGCCCCAGAAAATACTGAAGGTCTCCCAAGTCTTTGATTTTAAACCAGTCATCTAAGTGCTGTTTGATTCTATTAATTTCGTGAAGATCATTGCCGGTTAAGACAATATCATCTACGTAAATCAGCAAAGCAGTGAAGTGAGAGCCATGTTGAGTGGTGAAGAGAGAATGATCTGCTTGAGATTGGTGGTAGCCAAGGGAAAACATAGCTGAAGACAGCTTGGAGTGCCATTGTCTGCTAGCCTGCTTCAAACCGTACAAAGATTTCTGGAGGAGGCAGACCTGATTAGGCTTCGAGCAAGGGAGACCAGGAGGAGGTGTCATGTATACTTCTTCATGGAGGCCACCATGAAGGAATGTATTGTTGACATCCAATTGTTGACATCCAATTGTTGACATCCAATTGTTGAAGATACCAACCCTTTGCCACTGCAACTGAGAGAAGGACACGGATGGTAGTTAACTTGGCAACGGGAGAGAAGGTATCAAAATAGTCGACTCCCTCAAGCTGGGTAAAACCCTTAGCCAACAATCTTGCTTTGTATCTCTCTATGGACCCATCAGCATGGTATTTAATTTTGAAAACCCATTTACAGGCAATAGGGTGCTTGTTAGCAGGGAGATCAACCAAAGACCAAGTATTATTTAAACCCAAGGCAGTGAGTTCATTCTGCATGGCTTGCTGCCAATGAGCATGTTTGGCAGCCTGAGCATAAGTGTGAGGCTCGGTGTTGGCCGTAACAGTCAGGCAAAAACGTTTATAAGGAAAAGCACAATTATCATAGGAAAGATAATTAGACAAAGGATAAGGAGTAGAAGTTTTGGTGATACCTGAGTGAAATGGAATTGATTGAGCAGCAAGGAGACTGTGGTGATAGTCTTGAAGATAATGTGGAATGGAACGATTTCGGGTTGATCTTCTGAGATGCGTATCTGATGGAATGGGAGGTGGTTCAGGATTGGAAATCCAAGAAGATGAGGGGGAGAGGAAACAGATGAATGTGGATTTGAAATGGATGTTGGATTGGGTGAGTGAGGAGGGGAGATGGGATTTGGCAATGTATCAGTAGGTATATCATATAAAGGTTGTGTATGGGAGGATGGTGTTGAAGTAAAAGGGTCAAAAACTTGGGAAGAGGGAATGGAAGCAGGTTCTGTAAGAAAAGGAAAATTATCCTCATAGAAGATCACATTTCGGGAAAGATGAAATTCCCTAGATAACAGATCATAGACAATGTAACCCTTTGTTCCTTGGGAATATCCAATTTATACACCTTTGCGAGCACGTTGATCAAACTTTATGCGATGGGCAGTGATGGTGGAAACATAGCATAGACAGCCAAAGGTTCTTAGGTGCGTAAAGGTGGGTGGGGTGTTATGTAAGGTTTCAAAAGGAGTTTTATATGAAAGTAAAGGTGTAACAGTGCGGTTGATAATGTGCACAACATGGAGGATAGTATAGGACCATAGTGGTAATGGAATATGGGATTGAAAAAGGAGGGATCTGGCCACATTTAATATGTGTTGGTGCTTCCTTTCCACAACTCCATTCTGTTGTGGGGTTTCAATACAGGTTGTTTGGTGGAGAATACTTTTAGTGGAGTAGAAATCGGTCATCATGAATTCACGGCCATTGTCACTTCTGATAGCCTTCAATTTGGAATTGAATTGGGTTTCAATCATTGTTATGAAATTACATAAATGCTGTCTGGTTTCACTTTTGGTCTTCATCAAAATTACCCAAGTGAACTTTAAAAAATCATCCACTAAAGTAAGAAAAGATTTGTCACCATGAACAGAAGCAAGATGATGTGGTCCCCAAATGTCTGCATGAAGCAGATCAAAAATTTGATTTGACTTAGAGCTACTCAATACAAACGATGGTTTCTTTTGTTTGGTCAAATGGCAAATGTCACATGGACCTATATCAGGAACAACAGAAATACAAGGAAAGTGCAGTGCCATTTGCTACATTATTCTTGAAGAAGTATGCCCAAATCTTCGATGCCATAAAAGGGCAGTTTTATTGGTTGAGGTGGTATTCACTGTACTATGAGGATGGGTGGAATTGGCTTACTATCTTCAGAGACTATCACATACAGTCCTTGTTGCTATCTAGCAAAACCAGTCATCACATTGGTATGGGGCTGTTGAATAAAACACATAGAATTTTGAAAAGTCAGTGAGTAATGTGTATCTGCAAGAAGTTTACTTACTGACACTATGTTGACATTGAAATCAGGTGTATAAAAGACATTTAGCAAGGTTAAGGTGCTAGTTAGATGGACATTACCAGAATGTGTGGCAAAAATATGAAATCCATTTGGGAGTGAAATTAGTACAGGTATAATTTTGTGCATAGAAGAAAAATGAGATTTCACATAGGATATGTGATCTGTTGCACCAGTGTCTAACAGCCAATTGTCATGAATTTTACCTGACTGTGTAACAGGAACTTGAGTATCTACTTGTGCAGCTGAGACTAGCACATGATTTGAAGCATGATCAACTGAATTATTGTCTGTTGTTTGTGACTGTAACAAATGCATTAACTGTTTGCATTGATCGTGAGAAAAGGGGAATTTTACTTCTGAATGCTGAGAACTTCCTTGATCTGGTTGCTCAACTACAGATTCAAAGTTGTTTGCTGATGGATTGGTTCTGCTCAATGAATTGTCTCTATTTCCATATCCCGGTGAAGAATTATTTCTGTTTCCATAACTTGGTGGAAATCCATGTTTTTGAAAACATGTTTCCACGGTGTGATTCGTGCGACCACAATAGGTACATAGCTTTCCTCCATTCAACTGATTTCTTCCATATCCATAATTGTTCAACCGACCTCTTCCTCTTCCATAATTGTTTCCTCCTCTATGAAAATTGTTCTGATGTGCCATATTTGCAAACACATTCATATCAAGACTCATACCTGCACCAGAGTGTAGTTGTCTCTCTTACTGTATCACCATGGAGAAGGCTCTGTTGACGTTGGGAAGTGGATTGATTAGCATTATCTGTGACCTAAAATCACAGACACTCAACAATAAACATTGGAAAACCCAATCAGTCCTTAATTTGCACACTCAAATGACAACAAAAAAACTCAAAAATCAAAAATCCCCAGAATTTCACTATGAAAAAATAGAAACTTTACAATAATTCTTGAAAAATGAACAGAAATACCGTTCAGGAAACCAACACATGACCCAAAGAGATGCTAATAATGAAATAACAAAGCAAACCTAGATCAAGTTTTCAACTTTCATGTACCACACAAGATGTACAAGGCAACATACTATAATATGTTGGACAAGACACTGGGTCAAATATAAAATCACCATAAATGATGTCATACAAATAAATCTAGTAGGAGTATATAAAACCATCATAGGCACATAAAACACTCGGAATAGAATCGAGTTAAGCAAAAAAAAAAAGGAGTTATTTCGTATACATAACAGAGAAACATAGAGATCCATTAAACAAGACAAAAAAAATCGGTACATAAAGACCGTCGAGACTTACAAAACAGAGAAATATAAAGACGAAAACTTCGGGGGAACTTGCAACATCACTCTGAAAATCATATTGCATACTGATGGAATGTGACCTACCAGCCACACCGTCGAGAACTTATAGTGGGGTTGTGATGTAACGTCGAACAAGCTGTTTGTATGACCTTGGGCAAGTTTCACACACTATGTCATGCACCATAATGAAGAGTTGGTTACTGATTTGTTGAACCACACAAAACAGAGGCAACAAACAATAGCATGTGCGAACCAACCGAAGACAAGTTACCGTGGAAATTTTCGCTCCAAATCAACAAAAGTTATTCACAGTAAGACCAGTTCTTCGAATAAATGCAAAACTAGGGCTCGGGAGGGTAATTTTGTCTTCGAAATATGTGAATGGTTTCCCGATACGAAGGAAAAAAAAATACCATATCCAACAAGGTATTTTGACCAGGGATCCGGTAGTGTTAAATGAAATGCAGAGGAATAAATTTTTCCAAGGGAAATTTTGTGTTTTCCTTATACCAAATGTGAGAATTAAAATTTTCCACTTTCATTTTCCTAGGTATCCAAAATATTATCACGTAACAAACAGCCCCTAATACTCTATTCCGACCAAGTAGAATTAGAGCAAAATAAGTGTAGATTAAATACTTAAAGAATACTCAACAAAAAATAAAGACTCATTTATTGACTTATTCTTGATTCTTTTGTCACCTTGAAAATAAAGAAACAAATAAATGCATATAGAACATGAGTTTTAATCTCGAGGAACATGATATATTATTATATTATTTAACAAATTTAATATTTAATGTTACTAATTCATCAAATAATATAATAACACATTATTAAATAATAATATTTAAGAGATAATTCATAAAAAGTTAACTCATATAAATCGATATAATTGGTTTCGTTGATTCGAAAGCTAATTAGAGCACAATCCAGCAGCCCAAGCCCACTTGATTTAACTAAAATCACAAACACAAAATCTTCGAGGGTACACTACACAGCACACTTCTTATGCACTGTTCTGGGCCTGGATAATTGAACACTAGTTTCACTAGGCTCAAGTTTGATTTTAGTTATGATCACCAATTCAACTAGTGATAATCCTTCTTGATCTGTTTCTGAATTAATCTAAATAATTTGCAACATGAACCTATCGAACTTTCACTGTCACGCTCTTGCCAATACAGCATCTTGATCTATATAGTTCTTACAATTATTTTGTATCCATGTCCTTCTGTATAAATTAGTCTTATCACAATAGCCTTCAGCTATTAAAACTATATTTCACATGGGGTTTTTCAAACTTACTCTATCAAGGAAACCAAACATTTTAGAGTCGAGAAGGTGATTTTATAGACCTTGGCTCTTTTCGATAGTCATATACACCAAAACCTCGTTTTCTTCCAAGTTTGCCAGCATCAACATACTGCACAAGTAGAGGGCAGGGTGCATATTTATTGTCCCCAAGACCAGCATGAAGAACTTTCATTATTGACAAGCACACATCCAATCCAATGAAGTCTGCAAGCTCTAAAGGACCCATTGGATGGTTAGTACCCAGCTTCATTCCTGTATCAATATCCTCTTTGGTTGCAACACCAGTGTAGAGTGCAAAAAATGCTTCGTTTATCATAGGCATAAGGATACGATTTACTATGAAGCCTGAATAATCCTGGGAGGTTATTACTGTCTTGCCAAGCCTGCATATTGAACAAGCAGTAAATTAGAAGAACGAGATTAAGATTTTGTATTGTGTCTAGCTACATTGGACAAGTAGAAGGAAATGAAAGAACCTCAAAGGGCCAGGGAAGAAAAGGTAAACAAAAAAAATTACAGGGTAATTTTAGACACATTAAAGATACAAAGCTCCATATGCAATGAAAAGAATAATTCTCTTCGGCATATAAACTTAACTACTGATCTCGAGTTCGAGTCCTAAAAATGTAATTATGTTAAAAACTTGGTAGGGGAAGTTTTGTCGTCCTTGTGGTTCTGCCTCCTTGTGGTTCTGCCTGGTTTGAATCGGACTAGTCAAGTAATCAATGAATCGGCAGAGAAAAAAAAACAGAAAAATTAATGCACATTCAGAATACATTTAGGAAATGTAAAAAGGGATTCAGATGATGGATATTCCTAGAAGTTAGGACAGTACAATCTAACTTAATAGAAAAACCATTAGATGCTCATATTTTTTGAAAATAATATTAACCTGCACAAACATGCCCAATATTGTGGGGAATGTGAACATAACAGCCTCAAGATGAATTCAACATCAATAATTCCAATTCCTTCATATACCCACACAGGTGTAACATTTACTCATACACATTCACATTTTTCAGAGGAAGAGGAGGGGAAGTAGTTAGTGATGGGGACAAAAAGGGTATACAAGGTCAACCTCTTTAGAACTGGATAGGGGAATGAGAGTCTTTCATAGTGGAGGGTGCTAAGTTAATAACCTCTCTGATAATGCTTTTGTAGCAGCAAATGTCTCATCAGAAGTGTCTGCACCTCGCACAATCTCAATCAATTTCATCACATGAGGAGGATTCATAAAATGCATTCCTATCACCTGAAAATTACATAAGTTTCTTTCTATTATATTATGCACGAAAATAAAAGCAGATAATCAAATGGGAAAAATAAAACACCTTTCTTTCTGTAATGTACAGGAATAAATCTTTGTAGTAAACATGAACCTGACTAGGCCTGCTTGTAGAAGATGCTAGACGAGTCACAGAGATAGAACTTGTGTTTGATGCCAAAATTGCAGAACTCTTAGCAATCTTGTCTAGTTGAACAAATAAAGTTTTCTTTATATCTTCAGATTCTACAATGGCTTCAATAATAAAATCAGCCATATGGAACTCTTCCAAATTTGAGGTAAACCGCAGACGTTTCAAAGCATCAGTACCTACACCCTGTTAAATAGGAACAACTAAAATTATACAGACCTTAACCTCTGAGGAACAAAATTTCATATAAATTTCAAATAAAATAAAATAAAGGGGTCTTCTTCTTCTTTTTTTAAATTTTCTTCATCAATGAAAATGTTATAAAAAATTTCACTTATCCAAATTTTCACATAGTCACACTTATACTTCTAACCATAAATGAGTCAACACTCTTATTATTTCTAGAAAACTATGTGATGCCACCTAATTAATAAAATTTGATAAGTTTCAGCATGAAGTGAGAAAGATCAGTTACTATAAGGATTGAGGAGTTGGTAACCTGAGAGAGGTGGTTTCTGGAAACAAGACGGTTGATGGAAGCAGAGATGGAGGACTCTGCTCTGGAAAGAGCTTGAGGATCAACATCAAGGAGCCAAACGTCGATCCCATGCATCGCCGCCACTTGGGCTATTCCCGATCCCATTTGGCCACCGCCCACCACCCCGATTCTCTTCGCCGCCATTTTTTTGCCGTTTATGTTATGTTTTCACTATATGTCCGACATTGTACACTGCTGACCAGATATATACATAAAGTAAATAGTATAAAATAACTTATGATATCTTACTCTTTTATCTCTTATTTTGGTGGGTGTATGATTAATTTATTCTATTGTCTCATTTTATTCTATCCAATACATAATTTCTTATCTCATGGGATGAGCTGGGTTAGGATTCAACATGATAGGATATTAATATTGGATATTCCATATATCTCCACGCTACCCAATATATGCTCACACTACCCAATATATTTGTATTTGTGCATTATATTTTATTTTTCTTAATCCTTTCTCCTTCTACATAATCTTATCAGATTACTAATCAGGTACTTATCAAATCCGTATCATATCCTACCCTTATCAGCCTCATATCATATTCTACTCTCATCCTATCATGTTCACCAAACAAGCCCTTAATATCATACGATAACATGATAACATGATAGGTTATTCTACCTATTTTTTTTTTTTTGGATACCAATATTCTACCTATTTTTTCTTTTACTTATTTTTGTCTATTATTCTCTAATATCTTTTCTTTTGCACTCTCTAATATAACAAATGAATAGTATCATACGATAAATGTTAGTTAAGATTATGTGATATAATAGTATTAGAAAGTGACAGGTTAAGATAGATATAAAAATAATAGATAGAATAACCTATATCCTAATAATAAATTCGAGTTTTCTTTTTCTTTTTGGTAAAAATTTCGAGTTCTTATTGTTAGATGATAATGAAAACATTGGATTATGTAATTTCGTTATTCCACGTGTCCTTACTTTTGAGGTTTTTTTCTTGCTTTTATCACTCTATACAATATCCAATATGTTTCTTTTTATATTCTTATAATCTTATTCATGTTAATTGACAGATCTTTATCATCTTAAATTCTTAATTATCTTCTATAAATATTAAAAAAAATTCGAATACATAGCCTCTAAACAATAATTTACACCCATTAAAACTTTTAATAAGCAAACAAGTGCATTACACCCATTTTTTGGGTTTATGTTATGTAATTCTCTGTATCATGTGCTTATATAGTAAAATCATCTCTCCAACCACTTCACATCTACTAACGACAAATAGAAATGTACAAAATAATCAAAAAATTGAATTGAATCGAACTACACTTAAAATAACTCATTTTTAAAAACCAATTCATAAATCGAACAGTTTTCAGTTCATGAACCGAATTGATTTTTAAAATCAGTTCAAGAACTGAACCGAACCGAACCGTTTTCAAACCAAATCGAACCACTTTCGAACCCAACTGAATCACTTTGTATTACTTTATTTCTTTATTTTTTATTTTCAGAAGAGGGTCGTCCTGAACTGGTTCTGAAATGAACCGAATCGTTTCCATCCGAACCGAACCATTTTCAAACCGAACCAAACTGGTTTTGAACTAAACAGGACCATTTTCGAACCGAACCGTTTAAACTAATTCGGTTCGATTTTTCAAAAAATTCAGTTCAATTTGACCCATGCAAACCCCTAACGACAGATGTATAATTACAATTTTCCACATTTAATGTTTTTACTCTTTGTATGGTTATAATTTCTCACAGTTAATGTTGTCACTTATATATGTGGTAAATAATTAATTGCTGGATGTCAAGCGGTTGGAGAAATATAAATCTCATATATATATATATATATATATATATATATATATATATATATATATATATATATACACATATATATATGAGGCAGGATCCTTTGACACTAGTGTCAAATTTAAAGTTTGACACTTCATATGAGAGCCGTTAGATTAAAAAAGATTAATGGTGTCACATGTTTACAAATCAGAGTCGTTGATTTTTTTTATCTAACGGCTCTCAGATGAGGTGTCAAACTTCAAATTTGACATCAGTGTCAAATGATCCCACCTCTATATATATATATATATATATATATATATATATATATATATATATATATATATATATATTATTTAGTAATTATGATTACTTCTATTTTTTTTCATTTTGTGTCAAGTGTGTTATTTTTAATTTTTTTTACTTTTAACATTTATATTCAATATAATCCTTATATATTCTTATTCTTATTCTCATTAATTGAACTTTTATATTTAAATAAAATTTCTCCCTTAATTGGTTCTTCAAGGGATCTTTACTACCTCAATTATCTTGATAAGTGTTCTAATTTGTTTGGACATTAAGCCTCTGACTTACACACATTAACACTTTTAAAAAGAAAACATGTACATTATGCGGACTACTAACTAATTATATTTAATGGCCATTTCATTGGGTTAAATTATTTTCTAAATAATCTCTTAATTATTTTATTTTTTTGCCACTTAATCTTTCTCACCTTTGTTTTCAACTAAAACTTGGTCATTTCATGTCTTTAATTTCTTTAAAAAAATTAAGCTAATCATGTGTTAAGGATCAGAAATGCATACTTTTCATTGATAAGGATCTTTACTATAACAACCCTCATCAAAAAATCTCGAAATTATATAAAGAAAATAAGGGTGATTAGTGGCTTATGCCAATTTTAAAGTTAGTAAGCTTTGATGTGGATTTTGTTGAGCAATTGAATGAATTGACATGATAAATATTGTGAGAACACAATTCATGTCAAGTAAAGTAAATTAGCCCCAAATAAGAGTATTGATAAAGTTTATGAGTCAAAATATAAATAGGTGAAAGTAAAGGGACTAATTTGCAAATAAGCAAAAGAATGACCGAAGCTTAATTTTGATTGTGCAATTCAATTCTTTATAGAATTTTGATAATTAGAAGTGATCTTAAATTGATCTAATTATGTTTGGATTAATTTATAAAATTAGGTCAAAGATCAATTAAAAAAAGTCAAAGATATGTTAAATTGATTGGAAAATCAAATAATGTAGACAAAGTTGACTAGTTTGATATCTAGTCTTATTTTCTACTTTATGGTTGATTGTATGCATTCTTTTATTCCATGATACATCTAAAAATATATGTTTAAAGATGGACCAATCATATTAATTTAAAAGGATGACTAAGTTAAGGTAAATTGTGATGGTGCTGCGTGTGGCAACCCAGGTCAAGCTTCTTGTGGAGGTTTTATGCGAAATGATCAAGGAAATCGGATTATGGATTTTGCTTATAAGATTGGTGTTTCTAGTTCCTTCAAAGCTGAGTTATGGGGTGTACAATGAGGTTTAGAGCTTGCTTAGAGTTATGGGTATCGATAGATAGTTATTGAAAGTGATTCTTCTGTTGTGATCATTGTGCTCACCAATCATGGTGTAACAGCTCGTGAGGGTCATCTGATCTCTTGTATACGAGCATGGCTTCGAAGGAATTGGATTGTTAGATTGCAACACACATTTCGAGAAGGCAACATTTGTGCTAATTGGATGACAAATTTTATTCTCAACAACAGTGAGGGTTTGGATCATTTTATTAGTGGAAAACCACCACCTGGTATCTATCTGCTTCTCCAGGCTGATTTGGCTGCTGTGGGCAGGCCTCGTAGACTAGTCATTTAGTAGTTTTTGTTTTGTTTCTTTGTTGGGCTTTGGCTCTCTTTTCTACAAAAAAAAAAAGGATGACTAAGTCAAAGTGAAAGAAAAGTTAGTAAATTACTATCTAAGTTAATTGATGAATTATTTTCATGAATAAGTGATCTTCTCATCTTTTGATGTGTTGTGCGCATGCCTTATCCCTTTTGTATATGATGTGAAATGAACTTGTATGATAAAGTATCCAATATGAATTGATCAAGTGTTACGTGAAAGTCAAAAAGTGTAGGCTATGGAAACAACTTGTTACCTAAGTTAACTTGTAGAAATTTTTACATGCTAAGTGAATTGTATTCTTTTTATTCTTTTCTCTATGAAGTCAGCTGAACATTCTAGCATATGTGAGGGATATAAGTGGATCAATAAGGTGCAAGAGTGTGTTGACAAAGTGGGAAACTTAGTGTGTAAGTTAGGAAATTAACTAAGTTAAAATAACTTAGGATAAATCCACCTATACAAGTCGGTTCCTTCTCCTCTTTAGTGTTCCACGAAATTCCTTCTTCTCCCTCTCTTCTTTGTGCTCTAATATGGCTGAACATGTCTCTAGAAAAAGGGCTAAGTCATATCTCACAAACTAAACACTTTTAGGTTAAAGTTTCTACATGAAACTTGTAGTTTAAGAGCTTGTAAACACAATCATGTGATTGATTTCTCAAGAGAGGCTATTAAAGGGTATTTTATCCTCTTTGAAGTCATGAAGATGTGACTGAATTGGTGTTAAAATTTGATGGTTTCAAGGGTTTAAAGTGTGGAGAATAACCTAATGTTGCTTTGGAAGCTATCTAAAATAACATACTTGATTTCTAGTGATTTATGCTTAAGATTTCATCTATGTTCTTCTTACTTGAAGGCTGAATATTGGATGATATAACCTTGAATAATTGATAAGGTTCTAATGGGATTAACGCTTGATTGTTGGTTTTAAAAGAAACTAAGCAATGTAAAAGGCATGTTGAATTGTCTAAAAAATAACTAGGGTTTCGGCCTAATCATGGTTAAAAATAATATATCATGTGGTTGATATTATGTCAACATGAAATCATGATTAACTATTGGTATTTGAAAGTGTGAAGTAATTGGATTTAAGTTAAAAATGAAGAAAAACAAGAATATCTAAGTATATAGGTGATTCGGCCATGCCATGTAAATTGGTATGAAAGTTGAGTTCAATGGTGTTAAAGTGTTCAATGATGTTTTTAAATAGTGATTGGAATGAAAGTTAAAGTGTTGAAGTTGATGGAACATGATTAATTTAAGTAGGAAGATGACAAACTCTAATGGAGGCAAATCTGGTCTCTGTTTATAAAATTTATAACTAGAGATGTAGAACTCCAAATTTAGTGTGTTTTGCACCAAATTGAAAATATGTAAGTCAATTATAAAATATCAAAATTTCAGAGTAATCCAACCAGAATTGGGTTTTTGTGAATAAAAGAGTGAAGACGATTCAAGATGTAAAAGAATTC